TAATCAATACCAGTGATACCTGTTCTGTCAATATTAGTATATGCTGTTTAAAATGGATACATAGTACTGTGAAACACTTCTTTTGTTAGACCTGTTGCTTTAAAAACAAACAGTACTAGCCTACGTAACTAGCTGTCACAAGATATCACTAGGACTGCAGCCACTGAAAGGGGAAGAAATAGAAAGGAAAAAAGGAAAAAAATTGGAAAAAGATCTCCTAGTTCATTCAAAGCTTTAGTTTGTCTACGAACACCAAAAAGAAGAACACTGTGGTTCAAATTCAAAACCTTTTATTTTAATCAAAAGATTTCAGTTAACCTGAAAGGTGTTGATTTGGATCCTTCAAGATCACAAGAAAAGAATGCTATGAAATAGAATAGAAAATCAGAGCACAAAGAATTCTGAGCAGCTGAGGCTGAGAACAAAAATAAATACATGGTTTTTTTTTTCAAAGTTTTTTTCCACCATGAAAATGACCCTAGGTGTCACTGGCTAATGACCAGCTAGTGGGTGCCAAAGAGCAGTTTTTCTTTTAACTAATTAAATGTAACTTGTTAGAACAGTGGAAGTCTTTCTAAAGAAAGGTTTAGCTACTCACATAGTTACTCTTCACATTCATATTCATAGACATCATAGAAATTATGGAAAAGCACAGGCTGAAAGGGACCACAGAGATTATCTAGTGCAAAAAAGGACATGATAAAAATAGGGCTGACACAAGATTGAAAAATATTATCCTGATATTCCAATGTATTCCAATATTCTTGGGATAAAACTAAATGAAAGAATAAAGATTTTCTTGTGCAACCAGAGAATGAAGGAAATACAGAATATGGAAAATATTCAGAAAGTGTGTATGGAAAGCTGCTTGGGAATGTACCTAAACATAGTTCAGGGACTGAAATGCTAAAAGGCATGAACTGTAAAAGGACATGCAGAAGAATTGTGATCCACTGTTGCAATTTGATGGATACTGCTGAAACCCAGTGTTCAGCCTGACCATGATAATATTCTGCCTTTTAGTGATTAGCACAATACCTTCATAATGCTGAACTTGTCATTGCTTGAAGCCTTTTAAAAGAAAAAAGGCTTTTAACTTTCTCTGTATCACTTAGATGAAGACAAATAATAACCACAATTTCAGAGGTTGGACTTCACCATAACTACCATAAGGAGATGTAGAAAATCAGAGCCAGTTCTTCTCCAGTTCTACTGAAAATCGAAATATAATTTTTAAAAAATTAGCCAGCTCTAATAAGTCAAATGATGTGCAAGTTATGCTGAGCAGTAATACCAAGAGATATGCATTTGGTAACTAAAGCTAAATAAGGGACAACAGCCTTTGCATAAACTCTCCTTTACTTACTAAGAGTTTTATGCATACTAACAGAACCATCTACATGTACTGGGAAAGTATTTCTACCATCAAAATCAATCACTGTCAATATCACAAACACAGGAAAAGCATAAATCAGTATGAATGAAAAAGTGCATTTCCCCATTGGTCGACCAACACTGAGAAACTGCTCCAAGTCACTTACTCTGTTAAGCTTTGAAAGTGCTCTAGTTTTTTATTATTGTAGGGAGGATTTCTGTTCTGTTAGGCTCAGCTGTCACAACTGCTAAGGCTACTGTTAACACTATTAGCTCTATCAGCTCTATCACAGTAAATACTTCAGGACTCAGGGGCCAATGTCAAAATGGCTGGTGAAATTACCAAACATTAGTACCTAGGCTGAGAAAAAGTCGAAGAATTTGCTCTAAGAAAGTCCTCTGCAAGAACGAGAGCTTTTTTTATTTGCTTGTATATTCATCTTTTGGCTTTAGTAGCCCCTGGTATCTCTAATTCTGTTTTTAGAGAACTCATTTTGAATAGAAACTCTGGGAGGTCATCTAAAGGGATCAAATAGACAGTTGTATAGCTCAGCAGCATAAATTCAAATGAACTTATGACAGAGAAAATAATCCCTCATCTTTAAATTCTCACAGTTAATTCTGTTGGTTTAAGATTCCAGGCAAAAGGGGAGGATCTAGGCAAAAGGACACTCACCCCACTTACTGCCATACCTACAATATATCTGCATTATCACAGAGAATATAAATCATTATGTTTATTATCATATTCATTATATTTATTATTATTATATCAGCTTATTATATTTTTTGTTTCTGTCTTCTCCACTTTATGGAGTGGAAATAGATTTGTTACTAAATGGAGACAGAAATTCTACCATAAGGATTCAGAAATAGCCCAGAGCAGACAAGCATCGTTTACATGGCATTTCTACAGGGTATGAAGAGCAGACAAAAGTAAACTATCCGATACTCAGAAGGCAGGGTATCTTGGGATGAGGAGGGGACCACTTAGGACACTTCTTCTGAGAAGTGTCTTGGGTCACAAAATCAGAAACATTTCATACTACCTGCATGCCAACTGTGGCATAATCTGCTAATCCAGTGGATTACAACATGAACACCAAGCCCTTTCCTAAACCCACATTTCAAAAGACTCCACAGTACTGAGGGCAATTGTGCTGAGAGTCTAAGAGATATCCACCTCTGTACCAGCTCCTGATATTGTGATATCTGCTGGCTCAGCAATGCTAACTCAGTCTGAATGGGTAATAGACTCCATAAAACATGAACCCTTAATGAAGTGAAATAATGTAATTTGCTGAAAATGCTTGGCCTTCTTTTTATTATTATTTGAAAAGAAGTAACAGATGCAGGTCAGTTTATGAATGTAACAGATTTCACTGTCTTGCACTGGTCAAAGCTAAAATGCTCTGTTGGGAATCCTCTACCAGCAAGTTTGCAACATGCAACATCTTATTCATTTAAGAACATGGTTTCCACTTCAGTACATTCATGATAGAAGGCTTGTCATTATATAAATGTATGGGCTAACAGGGCATAAAAAAAACACCTACATTGTTTTACGTCTTCTAAGACCAGAAAGATTTAGTTATCACTAACATGCAGAATGTAAGTGAATAAGATCATATTAGCAATTTTTTGCTGCAGTGAAATCCTCTCATGAATGAGGTCGTTGTTCCAGAAGTACAGCAAAGCTCACTTCCAGGTCTTGCTTCGAGAACATTGGAATTTTCCTGGACTAGTTTTCAAAGGCACTAAAAAACTTCCTGATTTGAAAGAAGCCTGATGAGGATCTTCTCTCTTGTAGACTTGGCCCAAAAGACACCTCTTAGTAAATTTTAAGACACTTACTATATGAAGCTTAAAGTTAAAAGCAGATTTTTTATTTATTTATTTTTTCTCTGACACCACTTCACTCATTTTTGTTGAAAATAAATCTTCATCCTCTCCAGGAAGTTGCTGCTTTCTTATTTTTAGTCCAAGGAATTATTCATATAAGAAGGAAAATCTTGAAATAGAAGTTGTGAACTTTAATAAGCAGAAACGAAAATAAAAAGGTTTTTTTTCATCAAATGAAACCATAGAATGATTTTTCTTTTGCCCGGGTTTCAGGTTCATGCTCCCTGGTATCCAGGCAGCAAATGGCTTTGTCTTTGATTTCAGCAGATTCTGCTTAAGTATAAAATGTCCATCTACAAAATCTGGAAAGTCCATTCTTTTGGTTGAACAGCTGACTCATCGTATGGATCGCAAAGATTTGAAGTTGATCTAATGTGGTTTGTTAGATTGGATTTCTAGTGTGTACATCATTATGGGGCATAAATATGAGATCTAGCTGGAACTGATGAGTAATGTCCAGGTGGTTTCTGCAAGCTTCTGTCTAAACTACATCTTTCCTAAGTCTGTATTGGTATCACCTCATCTTAACCTGGAAGAGTAGGTAAAGATATTGCCAAAGATCAATTGTTAAGATACGCTACTTTAAAAAGCATTCCTAATTTACTATGAAATTATAAAGAAAACCTCACCTCATGCCCACGTAAATTAACAACCTTCAGATTCCCTACATGCTTACACTTCATGATTTAGCACTTTACAATAAGAAGATGCAAGACAATATATTTATAAATCTGTCACACATCATCTTTTTTTCCTCTTTTTGCAAGGGACTGGGAGAGTCTTCTAGACAGGCAGATATTCGTAACAATGCTCTGAGGGTTAAATAATGATACTGAGGGGGAAAATTTAGGTCAACCTGCGTAGTTTCATACAGCCTTAGTGACCAGTACGGAGCTGATCACCACAGCCGATGATTACACAGGAAAAAAAATTCTCCCTGTGCTCTGTAAGTAAACAGAAAATGCTAACCTTAGCATATTCAAAGGAGCATTTTAGCATGCAGTCATTAAGTTATCTCTTGGTTATTTATTTCTTCTGCTTGTTATTAGCTGTGTGAAGAATATTATTCTAATTATGTCAGCCCAATCAGCAGTATTGCATGTCCAGGCTCATTTCCATTAGTTTGAGCTTTGTCTTTCACACTGTGATACTAATTCAATGAGACATCAAACATTTAAATCGACCCAGGATGCCGAGGTCAGGCAGTTTTGCCCTTCCACTCTATTAGCACTCGAGTGTAATTGTGTTTGTCACTCCCCGCATGACTAATAGTATCAGGGTGACTATCAGAGCACAAATGAGCAATGCACTGATATATTATTTTGTTCTATAATATCAATATGTGTTTATTCAGTGGTTGTGTTAGCCAAGTTGAAATATTCACTTTAATACAGTAACCATAAACTGTTCACTTAAACAGGAGCGTTCACTCATACAATTACTTTGCAGAAATACAATTTTGCTTAAGTGAGAAAAATGAAGAGTCACTTTAAAAATAAGCCTTCAGAGACTCAGTGTCACAACCTAAATTTGGTCTAAAAGCATCAGTTCATATGCACAACACATATGCAGAGCATATATAACACTTTACAGTATATAAATATAAATGTATTATGAACTGTATGTAATTAGAGAGTGCATAAACCATTGAAGCAATTTAAAAGCAGTTTGCATTTTAAGAAAAATTGAGAGAAATTTTAAGTACAAGTCCTTGAACTGCATACCTGAAGAAAAGGGAACCAAGGAACTTCCTCCACTCCGGTGCAATGGTGCAATCCACTACGCAATTTCAGCATGTGCTTCACTTGAAAGATGCAAGTAATCACTAGCTGATATTGTTCTTGTACATAAAGCAGTGAATTTGCCCTAATAAAAGAAAGGGAAAAAAAACAACTTTTAAAAATAATTCAGCACATGAGAATTATAAAATCTAATAAATTCAAAAAAATCATTCTTTTAAACACATTATCATTTCTTTAACAGGTGGTTTTATACTAATTAACACCATCACGTTCCTGTGCATTTCATTTTCTCGAATATGCTTTAACATCTATGTTTTCTAGGTCAGAACTTATACCACCTTTAAGGGGACACTGACCTATAGAATTCATATTTTTACTCTTTCATTCTCTAGCACTGAATAAGGAACATATGGTGCATTTCTGTGTCAGTTACATAACCAGCTCATTGTGGGTTTGGGAGGTGTGTGCGCGCGCTCATTTATTTATCATTTACAGTGAATAAATACTTCTCAGTAGCATACAGCAGTTTTCAGCACTTCCATTGCACCACAGAAACTTCAGAGAAAATAGTTCAAACTTTTGTCATCTTACATTAGTCCTGCTATAAAAAAAACACATACAGTAACAATTAGTCGATACTGGGGACCATTCAGCAAAATTCTGGGATGCTTGAGTAACTGTTGTGTATATTCAACATGAGACTCAAATATATGCCATATTTAGATGTATGTTTTGTGTTTCACTGACTCCAAGAAGGTACATGAGGAGCTTATTGACTCAAAAAACAAAAATCTGTTCTTCCAGTTGATTAGAGATAATATGAGATTATATGGTGAAAGCGCTCAGATTTGAGTTCACATTCTGAACATTAGGTGAGATGTGATCTATGCAAGTATGTGTTTGCTTCCTCCAGGAAAGTACACTGTGTTAACATGTAGGATTCCGTGCTTCACACATGCAGCTTTAAGTACAGACGTTGTTCTTCAAGTGAAAAAACATTCTAGATCTTGTTGATAATGGTGTTAGAAGCAAATGTTTGTTCTGACACGTTAACTGGACTAACATCTAAAGTTGCAGATTTAATAAAACCAACAAAGTAAAAATCATTTTAGCATGACAAATTAGAGCAAACCAAGAAGCAAGCAAGCCTACCTGATCTGATCCTTTTTTTATTATTATTATTTTTTATTTTTGCTCTGTCACAGGAAGAAACAGAACAACAAAAAGCACACCACAAGATTATCCAACTAGGGAGTCAGAACCAGAGATTTAGAATTGGCTTCATGCTACAGGAAGCCATACTTGAGCTGAACTTCCCGATGTTTGCACACCACTGAGTACCAGTAACCAGTATCCTCTACATTCTCAGCTTGTGATGAATCTACAACAGACCAAACTTGGCATCATGCCCAGTCTACCTTATAAATCTTCTTCAAATCATAAACTTCCTAAACTAATGCTTCCCTGTGCAAAGACATTGGGAAGAGAATAAATCTTCTGCCTTATCAGGTTGTTTTAATTCATTGAACTTGTATGTGTTAACTGGAAAAACAATCCTTATACACATCAAAGAGACACAAGTATATTTTAATCGTTTTTCATTGACCTTTTCCTATCTGAACATCTCAACAGAATGAACAAATCTAACTTCCTACTATACCACAATTCTGTTTGTTCCCATTTTTAAGGGAACAGCAAAGTAGATTTCTTAATTTCTTTAATTTCTGTATCCTTGATCATTAATAGCTCAGACATAAATCATATTTTTATTTTAACTTCACAAGTTGCTCAAATATGCCAAAAGTGTCTTTTATGGAATGCATTACAAATGGGACAACTCATTTCTAGCCTCCCCAGGACTAGAAACTCAAAAGTGTCTGTCGTGTCACTGATTTACAACTCAGTCTGGGATGCATCACTAAAAAGTACCTTTTAGTTATACTGACCTTTCTGTACTGGAGATACACTATGAGCTACCAAGTGGAAGAGACATATTTGTCTAAGGTACATTTTCTTTGATACTCTATAGATGCAGCAAATATTTGTGTTTCTAACTATGCCCTTCCCAATTAGGTTGTTATGTTTTTCTAATGAGTAAAAGTAGGTTTCTTTGCTCTGAGTTCTGCTTCAAAGACAGGCTTTTTTTTTTTTTTTTTTTTTTTTAATTCTCATCAGTGACAAGCAATACCTATATATGGTAGAGCTAGTGCATGCTTTTCTAACAAAATATTTATTTTGATAAAAAACAAGCTAAGTGTGGGTGGCAGGAAAAACTGTTTTCTGCCCAACTCTAATTATATATGTATATAGACACATATGTGAAGAGTAAATGTACTGTTTTGCATACTTTGTTTTCGCCTACCCATTCACAGTAATTAAGCCCATGTGTATTATATTTATTCCCATGAGTTCAACCCTCCCTTTTGACAAATCCAACGATTAAACACATAATTCTAACAAGACTATGCAACACAGAACTGCTGCCACTTGGATGCAAGAACTTTGCTTTCTATTATAAACATATGGCTTTTTAAAAAAACAACAATGTCCATCTTTTTCTCTTTTCCACTTTAATTTATGCTTCTATCAATATAAGCAGCAGCTCTAAACACAAAACATTTGTCATCCCGAAGAGGAGAGTGTTATCCCTCATTCAGCAGTGCAACTTCTGTGTGGCTTATGAGGAAGTTACACCTCATAGCTTTGAGAGCTATTCCTAACTTCACCCAGAAAAGGCTGAGAAGTAATTATCACATTTGTATTAAAATCATAACATAAAAGAAAGCACTGTCATTGGAAAGCTGTCCATGCCACAGATAGGCAGCCAATTGTAAGGGCTGCCTCAGAGGTTCCTACCCTAGAAAATAATGAAAGGCTGTGGACAAAGTGCATTGCTCATACACCAGTCCTATTTGGTTTCTCTTCAAGTCTCCGTAAGATCTGTTACTAATTCTTCACCAAAGATGATGATTAGCTCAAGCAGCCATTTGACTGGTAGGCCAGTGAAGTACTTGAATTCCAAGTCAGTGACAGCTATATTCTGCAAATGAGCTGTGCAAGCACATATGGAAATAAAGGCTCTTCAAGAAAACCCAGCGTCACTCTAGCCACAGTCAAAAGAGGCTCAACACCAGAATAAGTTGTGCTTCTAATTACAACAACATGGCCCACTGCGATCAAGCCGATGGGGCTGGTACTTGATCTAACAATGCAGATATTGTCAGCAACAATTAAAAAGCTAGGAGGAGCGCCATGATGGAACTCTTTTGACTTCCTTGCTGAAGGAGGGAATGTTTGCTCCCAACACAGATAATCACAGCCAACACTGTAACTCGGTATCCGTTTCCTTTGAAAATCACATCCATTATAAAGACTGCGTGGTTACAACTTAAAGTAACAAAAAATCCCCATGTATTCTTCCTATCAATTTGTACAACAGACTGTGGGGAAGTTCCATTGTTCAAACGCTGTAAATCAGTGGGCTATTTTGCTAGTGAAAGAATGAAAATACAGATTCAGTGTTCACTGCATAGGGGGGGAGAGGAACAGGCAATTCAAGCAACCAAATCCACTAAACTAACTACTTTTATAGTAAAGAAAAGGTCCTTATTCTCCATTTTTATACTTTTGGTACCACACAGAGTTGAAGTCTGCTAATCCTTTATAGTATATTATGAAAAAAAAACAAAACCATTTGCAACTCAGTTGTCCAAACAATTCACAACAGTAGAGTTGCAGTGATACATTCGTGTGGTCCAAGGCCATGCAGCACTGCTCCATCTGCAACCCACCATTGTCATACATACCATACATGACCCTCTCCCAATCCCACACACTTCAGAACAGGATGCCTTTTAGGAAAGTCTACAGATAAATATAAACATAGGTAGATGTCAGAGGAATGCCAATGTAACGCAGACAAATCATAGGTGTTTCTTAAATATTTAGTAAACAGAAACACAGGAACTTAAATGCAGTAGTCTGAAATCATTTCCTTGATACAGACTGCTGAAAAATTCCATGTTTCAAACCCTAAACTAACAATTTTCTGCTTAATTTCCAGTGCAGATTAGAATGCGCTAATATACAATGCAATCTACTACAGCATTGAACTCAATATTCATACATATATATATATGTATACACACTCACCTCTAAGATAGCATAGATTTACACCCTTGAAGTAAAACACACAGGTGTGACTTCAAAAGGATTTGCCTTTATTTGCCAGATAAAATTACAGACACATCACGTCTGCGGTAGTGGTCCTGATACCACTTTATGTGAGATATGTTGTCCCTTTGTTTGCTGCTGACAAGCGTAAAGAGCCACTTTCACTGCAGATAATAATGGTTAATTTATCACACCAAGCAGTGGCTGACCTCTGTGCGTCCCTGGCCCTCCATCACCTTCACACCTGCTCAAGCTAATTGTTAGAGCCAAGTGTAAATGAAAATCAACTGGGCTAATAATGGATGGAGGCCATTACTCGCAACAGCACGTTGCTTTACAAAGGTTTATCAAGCTTTGAAATAACTAGTCCCTTATTCACAGTTCCTTGTTTTATAAACAAGGGTAAGACAAACACCTCAAGCCAGAAAAGAAAACCAGGCAGCAGGGCAAAACGCTTAGGTTTGAAGCTGCTTCTATAGGATCTTAGCACAGCAAATAATGCACAGAGATCAGAAAACACAAGCTGGAATTCCCAGCTCATAATGCAAGAATAGTATTCTTAAAATTCTGGAACAGGGGAAGGAATTTGCCCATTTAACACAATGCTAGTCTGCTAAGAATAATGTACAAGTACACTGATTAATGAACAGACTAACATGTGAAAATCCAACCCATAAGTCCTTCATAAAACATACTAGACATTTTCTCAGTAAAAAGCACAAGGCACCCTACAACTTCAAACACTGTTTCAAGGAATTTTATCTTGCAGGTACCCCTGGCTCCAGAAATCTCAAAATAGAACATAAAAATGCCAAAACAACTTATTAACATTTTAGCAAGTCCCACCTCCCACATCCACATTCATTTATCTTCATCCAATAGGAAAAAAATTATTTAAAACCTTGGTCTCATAAATAATTATAGAACTCAGCGGAGGGTTTGTCTCT